GGCAGATACAAAGAAATGAGAAACATTCTCCTTTGAGAATCTCAGTTAGTTCTGTTTCTGCCATCTTTAGTTTAGCACTTTGGTGAACACACTCTTTAACAAGCGTAGCTATTTGTGCAAACCCTGAGGGCAATTTAAACTCAGACATAGTCAAAGAGGGGAGGGATCTTTAAGAAAAAATGTCTATATGGAAATTTTCAGGTAAATGCTAAGTAAAAGAAGGTTAGTAGATTAAACCTACAAAGTTTGTGTTTATATAAGGAATTTTTGTCACTATTAACTAGGTTCAAAAAATTGTACTTCTTTTAGTTGAACATAAATATTTCTTACAATATTAAGGGTAGCTAATTAGCTATTAGCCAGGTGAATATAAACCAGATAAAGAAAGAACAAACAGTAGAGAGTGGCATTTGCTTTTATTCTAGCATTTAAATGTGCCACTAGGTTCTTGGTGAAATATCTTTTTAAGAGGAGGTAGAAAAATGTGTCTATTTCTGCAACCTAAGCCTCTGATTCAGATTCTAAAAATATGTCCTGTTTGGTAAGGCCTCTGAAGTCATTTAAATTTAAATCCAGAGAAGTCATTGAGAAATTCTCTTGTCCTTTGAAGTTTTAGGATCTAAAAGATAATAAAGTACTCATCTAGATACTATATTCTTAGCTAAGATAATGTGTTGCCTTACATTTTTACAAATTTAGGATCTGAAGGAAACTGAATATAAAAGTCATATTTAAGAATTCATTTAAAAAAACTAAATAGGTGAAGTTCAGGGGTTCAAGAGATTAATTCAACTTTTTATGGAAACATTTGCAATAAATCCAAAGTTAATGAACATTCTGACACTTAATATATTTAAGGTTTATAGCTTCTTGAATTTAATATCCAAAATACCCTTCAAAAGGTATACATAAATGCAATGAACCAAAAATAAAGGGCATCAGAGGACAGACCTAATCTCCATGGTATGTGTTAGCCACATTATATCAGGTTGGGAATAGAAAGTGTATAGATTAGTAGAAACAGCGTGATGATGTATCTGTGGCAGGATTTAGTTGACAGAAAAATGGTTTTTAAATAATTTCTCTTTCAGAAACCTCTTTATCAACTTATAACATTAAATATATTAAATGTTATTACAAAAGTATAATAAAATTTACAGGTATTTGAGATAAATGAGTATTTGCTCTATAATCTCAAGTTTTTGTCTTTTCCTTTCCAAAACAAGGATTTTAGAGACAGACTGGCTGGGTTCAAAATCTGATTCTTCTACTCATAATTCCACAACTTTAAGTTAATCACTTAAGCTCTCTGTACCTTCTTTACCTCATCTGTAAAGAGTTTATAGAGTTATTATGATGATTAATATGCATACATTTATTATTTACATATTTAATATTCACTATTAAATATTTATTATTATGCACATATTTATAGGCATGTAAACATAACTGTAAATGTCTTCACCAATATACATACACCTATATTTCTGTATAACTGTAGAACATATATATGTATATACATATATATAGGTTCACATATGCATACACGTATAGTGTGTGGAATTGAGAAAAGAATAAGTAATTTATTTTTATTTTCATCATTCTTACTTTGTTACAGAAAGCTAATGAATGGAAGGGAGGGGAAATAGGATTAGGAAAAACAGTGTAATGAATCTGAAATAACTTTTTTATGTACGTATATGAATACACCATAGTGAATTGCCACATCATGTACAACCACAAGACTGGGATCCTAATTAGAATAAGATATACCCCATGTTTGTGTGTATATGTCAAAATAGACTCTACTATCATGCATACCCAAATGAAAATTTTTTAAGGATAAATATAGAAAAATAAAGCTAATGAGAAAAAAAAAAAAGATCAAATGTTCACAGTTGCCAAATTTTAACCCTTCTTTTTGGCTTGATCAAACTTTAGTCCCATTTCTTTCATTCCTGAAATTGGCTTGACCCCAAACCTGAACAAACTATGAAAAAGTAAAATGTGTCCCTATCGTCTGTCAGCTTCTCTTAGGACCACAGCAAAACCCTTTTCCTATTGGACCACAATAAATATTTCTCTTGCTTGTCCAGGTTCTTCTTAAGAGTCTGTTTATCTTTGTTCTCCCCTGCTGAACTTATGAAAGAAAAACCTTGCCTATTGGATGTTGTGACCTTATAGAGTTCCACAATTGGAGCCTTCTCCCCTACCACAATAATCTTTCTTCTGAATAAAGTCTTCCTATATGTAAGTTCAGGTTTGTTTTTATTTGAAAAACAAAAATCATCCCCAAAAACATTGCTTTCTATTGGTTTTCATATTATGATTATATTGATGTTTTACTTTTACTTTTACATTTTTACTAAAGTGTTTTATATTGAAATATTGTGACCTATAGGTTTTCTGAGTTGGAACATCGATAGGTTCATTCCAGAGTGCTATATACAGAGTCTAACTTCTTAATAAAATATTTTCCTAAATATAGACTCACTACTTTAGATAAAATTTTCCAATATTTGTGTTCTTGACAATTATTTTAAATAATTGATCAATTGATTCATATTCAAATTTACCAGAATTATTGAGAATTTTAGAACACTGTTATGGTTTGGGTCTCGAATGTCTCCCAAAAGATCATATGTTATATAATGCACCAATGTTCCAAAGTTGAATCATAAGGGCTCTGACAGCATTAGAGGATTAATCTCTCTCATGAATTAATAATTTGAATGGGCTACTTAGAGGTGATGAAAACTGTAGACAGGTGGAGCATGGGTGGAGGTAATAGTTCACTGTGGAAATGTCTTGGGGACTATATATGTCCCTTTCTCTGCTTCCCAGCTAACATGAGTTGAGCAACTTTTATCTACCTCACAGTTCTATCATAATGTTCTGCCTTAGAACCAGCCAACCATGGACTGAATTGTCTGAAACTGAGAACCAAAATAAATCTTTCATCTTCTAAGTTGTTCTTGTCAGATGTTTTTTCACAGCAATGCAAAGATGACATAAACACCTAAAATCAGTAAAGCTTCTCTCTCTCCTTATGTCACAGTGTGTGCATGTATATTAATATATATTTAAATATGTATACATACATATGTATGTATATAATTCTACAGTACACAGTAGCAGCCAGTGACATTTTATTACTGCTGATTTCCTGCTTTGAATTGGAGAACTGTTCTTTGAACTTTTGCCTTCTGGGTGGAGCTGACTTTCAAAACCTCATCATTCCCAAGTCACAGTGTTACTCAAGATAATTTAGAGAGGTATTTGAAAACTCTCAGAAAAGCATATTGATTTTAAAATATAATGCTGTTATTTTAGTTTATTTCTCAAACATTAATTCGAATTCATTTTGACATTCTAGTCAAATTCCTTTCTAAGGTAGTCCTCACATTTAATAAAGACACATAAGGGTAACAGATTCCTTTATGATATAACGTAGATCACCCTCTGGGAAGTTCTTTTTCAAATGTCAAATTTGGCCTATCAAACCAGAACAGGATAATTCATCTTAAAGATTATACACATTTAACTGAGCAACAGTAATGGCAAGATTTTGATGAGTAATATGAGTAGTTTCTTAAGGCTTAATGAATTGAATTTCCAAAATATCTTCCATCAAAAGTTTAAGGGAAACTCAGTTCTTTCAACCTCAAAATATGGTTTATTTAAAAAGGCATAAATGTTGGGAAAAACATGTCATGAAATATTGAAAATCTCTTTTAGAGGGGGTACAGTTTAACTTGGGAGGTAACAAACATTTAATAATATATGTTAAATAGATTATTTTTACCAATATAAAATTATTTTTGTTCTAGAAAACAGTGTTCACACCATTTGACCCAGCTATCTCTCTCCTCAGTCTATACCCAAAGGACTTAAAAACAGCATACTATAGGGACACAGCCACATCAATGTTTATAGCAGCACAATTCACAATAGCTAAACTGTGGAACCAACCTAGATGCCCTTCAGTGGATGAATAGATAAAGAAAATGTGGCATAATACACAATGGAATATTACTCAGCAATAAAAGAGAATAAAATCATGGCATTTGCAGGTAAATGGATGCCATTGGAGAAGATAATGCTAAGTGAAGTTAGCCAGTCTCCAAAAAACAAATGCCAAATGTTTTCTCTGTATAAAGAGGCTCATTCATGGTGGAGTAGGGAGGGAGAGCATGGGAGGAATAGAGGAACTCTAAATAGGGCTGAGGGGTGGGAGGGGAAGGGAAGGGGGTATGGGGTTAGAAATGATGGTAGAATGTGATGGACATTATTATTCAAAGTACATGTATAAAGACAAAAATTGGTGTGAATATACTTTGTATACAACCAGAGATATGAAAAATTGTGCTCTATTGTATAATAAGAATTGTAATGTATTCTACTGTCATATATAAATAAAAAAATAATAAGAAAAAGAAAACAGTGCTCACATATATTTGAGCAGAATGTATTTTTTTTCACATTGAAAGATGATTTTCTAAAGCCCCATTTCTCAAAGAATATAATTTTGCTGATTAACCATGTCTCTTTTACTTCTAGCATTTTTCCCTCTGATCCTAACATATACTCATGGTTTATATTCACTAACTTTTTGCTATCACTGCTAAAATGTGTATTGTCACTAAAATGCTTCTTTTTAATTGCTAAAATTCATCACAAAATAACTATATTACTGGAACATTCACAAAATGATACTGTTATAGTATGTTGTTTTGGCACAGTGGGAAAAGAAAGTATTGGTGAAAAATAAAATAAAATAAGACTTGAAAACTGCTTCCAGGACTGTGTAAGTGATACAAAATATGGAGACAGCTCGGCTTGAATCTCTTTTAAGGCAGAACTATAACATATGTCATCTTAAATACTTACAATTTTAACTCCATGGAGTAACTACTGTAACTTCAGGAGTTTAAGGGAAAAAATGGTACAACATATTTTGAAATCAATTTTTTTTTTTTTTTTGAAATTTACAATCTTACCTTTCCTGCCTTTTTCCCCTCGGATTTCCGCTGATTTGGGATAAAATGGAGGCAAGGGAAGCAAAACAAAACAAAACAAAAACAAAAACAAAAATAAAAATCAGCTACAATTTGGTTACTGCAAATGCATATTCTTTAAAAAGCATGTCAATATTCCCAGTGCAATACTATGCTTTTTTTCCCCCTAAATGCTTTCATCTTCTAGATTCTTCAGTGGTTTCAGTGAAGTGGTATAAGAACATTGTCAATTTCATGCAAAAATATGAAGTGACATATAAAATCTTCAATTGACATCAAAAAATTAAGTTATATGCTTAGGCAACATAGGCATTAATCAAGAAAAGGCATCCTTTCAATTGGATATTTTCTTATGATATCACTTATTTCTTATCTATTTTAAATGAAGGGGCCTTTATTTCAAGCATGAATGTATTTCTTAAAACAAAAACTAGCCAACTTGGAAATTCATGAATTGGAAGCAAACATTAGAAATATCTATACTATATCAGGATACTATCTCTAAATGTTCTATCAGTTTTATTGGATCTTAGTTCCATTCTGTTTAACTAAATCCTTTCTACTATTTCTAAATGTTCTATCAATTTTATTGTTTTTTAGTTCTATTCTGTTTAACTAAATCCATTCTAAATCTATCATGATAAAGTAGCAAGTTACTTCAATTTTTAAGATTCAAGAAACATTTGGGTCATTTGTCCTTATAGATTCACTCTCCTTTGTAGATATTCACAAAAGTCCTCCTGCTCATTTTTTTCCTTTCTACAGAAAGGCAAAAGTTCTTTAGAGGGTATTGTTGAGTACAAAGAATCAGAAAATTGAGATGAGGGTAGTATTTATTCTGAAGTAAGGGTAAATAAAAAGGGAAACATAGCCAACATCATATGAGGATAAATGCTCTGTATTTTTATCTAATTGTTTTATCAGATATTACCTGGCCAAGAGTCTATATATTTTTCTCTCATTTTAATATAATTGAGTTAAACAATTAAAATTGCAATGAGTATCCAAAATCATCCTAAAAATAAAATTGTACTTTTTGTTCTTTTACATTGTGTATTTAATTTAAGCATAAGATATCAATAATGTCCATCTACATCCATCAAATCCAATCAGCAATGGATCAAAGTTAGAACTTGATTTATCTGTGAAGCCATAGCCTGAGGATAATACCTTGAGTATTCTCTTCCAATAAAGTGTTCTTACATTTCAATATCTTTAACCAACCAGTATTTAAAGCTCTCTTTATTATGAATGAGAATGTTTTAATAACAAATTCAAATTTTTAATTTTCCAAATGAAAAAAATCTCACAGACCAAAAATCCCTAAAACTTCAACCAATATCTAAAAATACAACATTGAAAATACCATTACCTATTCTGTAAAATCATAATGGATCATTTTGTATTTGTTCCAGTAGAAATTACTTTCAAGAACATAATACATGTTAGCTATTAGATGTTTTACCATTTATCACTGAGCAATCCAAAAGCATTCAGATATTTAGTGAGCCAAGTAAAGGTATAAAAATGTTAATCATCTCTATCTTGGTAAAGCATTTAGTGAACTATTAAAAATTGAATGACAACCAATACTTAAGGCTAGTAAACATTTGGAGGTTACAATGCCACATCTACTAAATTTCTTAATTGAGAGTTCTAACTGAATATAACTGATAAAAAAGAGACATGAAATATAGTATGTAAGGGAAGTTACAAAGTTTGTTAATGTCAAGAGTATAACCCAATGAAAGGAATATCCTAAATTTTCAGTAATTTCTCTATTAAATTGCATAGTATTAGTCAATATAGTAGAAAATTATGTCAGGTAAGTCACCACAGTGAAATATTATTCATGTATGCTTTGATACAGCAGTTCTGTTAACACACTTTAAAAAAATCAAAACCAAGTAATTTTGGTATTCCTCAATATCTATGTACTTTTGTGATCAGTGGGAACTAGACATATTATATTTGTCTGTTTGGGTATGTGTATTCAAACCACAAGCACAAAGGGTGAGGTCAATAAAAGATAAAATCTATAACCCAAAATAGTATTGCTATTGTGTAGTCTCTGAATACTCTTTTTTTCCCATCCCCAGGTTTATAACTTCTCTTTTTTCTTTACCTATCTGTATAAAGTACAGCTATTATCTACATTCTGGCTTCAAGTAGGACATTTTTGTGCATTGCTTCTGCTTACAGTGTGATGGTCCTCTGAACATAAGAATTAGAAGATTAATGATAGACGAAAGAGAGAAAGTTGGAATTGGAAGTCAAGGAAGCTATACCTATACACACAATTAGCAGAAAGGGGAAGAAACCTACTAGAGAACCTATCTTGAATCACTTTCTGCAGATTAGAAACAAAGTAGAAGAGGGCACAGAAGAAACAATGTATTTGATGAGTGCTGATTTACTTTAAAAGATGACTTCCATCTCACCCAATAAAGCACCAATCATCATTAAATATTTGTCCAATGGGTCATGTACATTATCAACTTGAGATATCCTTTAATGATTAATATTTAACAACAAACACCAGAATGTCATTGACCGTCTTCTGTAGGACCCACAGTACTGATGATGGTAACTCTTCTGAACGTCATGATCAAAATGAAAATGTTTATCACTGTGAACACATAGTAGATCCTTAATATTTGTCTAATGGATACATGAAACTGGGTAAGAAACTTTGTGTGTGTGTGTGTGTGTGTGTATACTATGAAAAAGTAGCAGCTTGTAAAGTGTGTGATACCATCCATTGTGGAACACCTTTCTCCAGTATGCACTTAAAAATAAAGTACATAGATGCTGCAACTGAGAAAAATGTCACAATTTTAACCTCAATTTGTATTTGGTTTAAATCCATATAACTACTATGTTCAAGTTCATTTGTTTTGGTAGAAGGACACATGTGGCATGATATTTCAGAGATTTATTCAGTTATCTCCTCAGAGTGTTGGTGGCTTTAAAGAAAAGCCACTAGTAAATCTCATAACAAACCAGCCTAAATTTCTTTCTCAGAATGTTTCATTATTATGTCTTTCCTTTCTAAAATGTAAATTGCCACTTCAGAAGAATAAACTTATCAAAATGTATCTAGACATTACTACTGCCTTATTCTGCTTTTCCTAAATTTAAGATTGGCATAAAGATTGTATAGGTAGTGTCTACAAAACAGTAAAGAGTATGGAACATTTGAAATAAGATTCAGGTTTGGGCTGGGGATGTGGCTCAAGCAGTAGCGTGCTCGCCTGGCATGCATGTGGCCTGGGTTCGATCCTCAGCACCACATACAAAGATGCTGTGTCCGCAGAAAAACTAAAAAACAAATAATTATTAAAATTCTCTCTCTCTCTAAGACTCTCTCTATCTAAAAAATAAAAAAAAAAAATTCATGTTTCAGTTCTGGTTCAACAAGTAGCTATATATTCTTATATAAGCAAACTTTGGAAGAATATATATTTACCTCAAACATCAAAGCTATGACTTAACTACATTTTTGGTGCTATTGGTAGTGACAATGATTATATCAATTATAGGAGCACTAAAACTATAACCACCATTGTAACTGTTATTATTATATTTCATTTATTGTGTGAGAGGAATTCCAGTAAATTTTTTCCTATATCATCTCATTTACTTCTTATAGTGACCCTATGATTGTGGGCAAATCATTCTCATATTACATACTAGAAAGATGTATATCAAAGAAGTTAAGAAACCTACTTAGATCCTCTATTTGTGAGGGACAAAGCTGAGGTTTGAAACCAAGTCTACTGGATTCTTAATATTCTAGAATGTAAGGTGCATGGCAACTGGGACTTTTATCATTTTGGATTTAGAATACTGCTATATTCTCAAAGCCTAAAAACATGCCTGGCACAATGGAGACCTACAATGAATATTTGCAGAATATTTAAAGAACAAAATATACTCTTTTATCCTCTATATTTGTGATTATACATAATTATAGCCAGGGTATAATAATTATGAATATTAGTTAAAATAATAAATTTGCAAGCCATACTGTTTGGTTTCAACTGCTGGCTGTATACCTTATTATCTGTTACCTAATAAATGTTTCTTTTTGTCCTTTTGTCTTAGTGCCATCATTTGTAGAATGGAAAATTAGGATTTCCTAATTCACAGTATGTTTAAGGAGGATAAATTGGGTAAATTTAGTACTTCAAAGAGTAGCTGCTACTTGTTTGAGCTATCTACTATTAGTGATAATTTATTTTATCCTCTTCAATGATACATAATTTCAATGTCATACAATCCTACCATTTAAACTGTGAAGTCAACATTTTTAGTATACTCAGAACTCTGTAACCATCACTGCAGTAAATTTTAGAATATTCTCATTACTCAGAGATTCTCATTACTATCATCCCCTTATGTTCCTAGCCATGCCCTCAGATATAAGTAACTATTAACATATTTTCTGTCTCTATAAATGTCCCTCTTATAGAAAAATAAGTAGAGTCATGATCTTTTTTATTGAATTCTTTCACTTTGCATAATGATTTCAAGGTTCATTTATGTTGTAGCATATTTCAGTAATTTGTACTTTTTATGGTTAAATAATACTTAGTTGCAAATATTACCATTTTGTTTAAACATTTATTCATTGGTGGATGTTTGTATCATACAATTGGGCTATTATTAATGATACTGCTATAAACATTCATGTGTAAGTTTATATATGAATGTCTGTTTTTATTTGCTGTAAGTATATTTCTTGGTGTGAAATTAATAAGTCAAACAGTAATCCTATAACCATGTGAGGAACTTCTAGATAGTTTTCCAAAGCAACTGAACCATTTTACATTCCTTCCAGTAGCATAAGAGGGTTCTAATTTCTCCACATCCTCACCAACAAGATAATTTATTTATTTATTTTTTAAACATTTTTTTAGTTGTAGATGTATAAAATATCTTTATTTTTATTTATTTTTTATATGGTGCTGAGGATCAAACCCATGGCCTCACATGTGCAAGGTAAGTGC